GGGGGGGGGGGGGGGGTATATATGGAAAGGGTTCATATATCCCAGGTAAAAATTGACTATAGAAACAGGGCTCATCAAGCCCTGGACCAAGGCTCGGAAATGCTCAATCAGGGCTGAGGCTCAGCCTTGGATCAATCCTCCTTCAGCCCTAAAATGATAATCTCGTTTCAGGCATAGTCCGCAAGGCTTGAACGAGGCTTAGTGCCAAGGCTTGATTGAAGCCTTGAATTACCAAATTTTAAAGGCTCAATCGAGCTTCGGCTAAATAAACTGGAGTATTGTTTACAGATATTTGTATAAACAGTTTCTAATTGCTTCATAACCCTTTTTATGAATGTAGAGTAACCTATGAAAGAGAGTGCGGTCGGACCGTAGATCATTGTTGCTAAGTGTTATTGGTGATTGTGATTGTCGGTTAATTAACAATGGATGGGAAAAAAATTATTATCATCATTAGTTTCTATTAATTATTCGTCCTGGATTATTACCACGCACCTAGAAATTGAAAAATGACAATGAAATCAAACATTTAAAAATTTGCTCCTGCTGGGGTTCGATCCGGAGTCCTTCTGATCCGTAGAGAAGCGCACTATCCACTGGGCTACCTGTGACTTCTTAGGATGATACATTTTTTTCGGGGATAAAAATTCAACTTGTGTTAGTGTTATTTTGTTATTTTGTTGATATCCTAATTAAACTTCCTAAACTTGAATAAATGATAGGTCCAATGGATTTATGAGTTCAGAATCGATTGATTAATTAATTATAGCTAAGGATAATAATATATAATTACGTAGCCTCGGGCACAAGGAGCTGCTCTAGACCTGGTCTGGGGTTAGCTTAGATAACTTGGCGGAAAATTATAGCTATGTTTGTAGATGATGATAATGTTTTCACCACCATTAGCTGATGAGTATTGATATGAAAATTGAGGAAATTAATCGAAAGTAACTTCCATTTTCGAGGCCTTGCTGAGCCCTGAATAAGCCTTGACATACTGAGCCTAAATACTGAAAGCCTGGACTAGGCCTGAATTGAGCCTCGCCAATGGCCCCTTTAATCATCCTCATTTGAAGCTCAAGTGAACGGTGAAACCATAGGCTCAGTTATTCAAGCCTATCCCAGGCCTGAATAACTGAGCCTCACCATCGCCAGCCTATGTAACTCTTACCTGGGATGTAGATTTTAGTGAATGAGGAAAGTTTTGTGTGTGTGCCTGGGGGGGGGGGGATGTCAAAGGATTGTTTTATCAACGGGTGGGGGTTCTAAATCGGGGGTCTCATGTATGGGAGAGTGGAGATTTCATATTAGGGGAAAGAGGTCTTATATATGGGGAATTATATAAGGATTGAAAATATGCAAGAATCAACGCTGAGGGTCACGAGAGCCAGGTATATATATAAATGGTCAAAAATGAACCTCGGAATCAAGGATTGAGAATAAGGATCGTTTCGAACATAAGGTCGAAAAGAAGGGTCACCAATAGAGTGAATAGAGGCTAGAAATAAGAGTCAAAAATAAAAATCAGAATCAAGATTTTAAAAATCAGGAGCGGAATAATGGTCACAAGGGTCAAGCTTACCCTCATTTCTCATCCTTATTTAATTTTGTCTGAAAATTAGTGACATGCCGCAGAAAATCAATGACGTGTTCTTGAAAAACCGTGACATGTTCCCTAAAATCAACACTTTTTTCACTGTGAAATAAAAAAAAGTGTAGGGCGATGGTTGTATCTTCTATCACATTGTCTTTGTGTTTGGTCTCGCCCTTCAGCCTCGGTCTTGTCCATATAAAAATAAGAAGTGGAGACCGAGAAGAAATGACTTCTCTTGGAATTATTACAAGAGAAAACGATACTATGCTTTTTGAGCCAGGCGATCCCAACCATTTCATCTTGTTCGTTCAGACCGAGACGATCTCTTTAATGTGAAGTCTCGTCTAAGTTTCCTATTTTATCTCGAACTTCCTTACACGGAGAAATGTTCAGTAAAAATTACGGAACTCATAATTCACTCGCCGATTACGGAATCGACTTGGAAAATTTAAGTGACGGTATCGGAATTTTTTACAGGAGATTCAGATAAAAATTACGGAATGCTCCGGAAAAATTCCGTGACAGTTCCGTAAAATTTCCTACAATCACATTTCGCTCCGGAATTATGGAAAAGATATGTAATTTTTTTTGAATATTTCTCTCCGTGTATAGAATTTTAATTGATACATTTGCATGTTGCTTATTTGTTCTAGACATTTGCTTTTGCTTTGTTTCTTCATTTCACGTAACTTTCAAAGGATTTTTCTCGAAGCTGCGATGATAATCCTTCACATAAATGTGCTCAAGATGATTCGTGTCAAAATTAGTCAACCTTGCTATGATTCCACGTCATATTCTGATTCAAATGATTTAAGTATTTTTGTATTGAATTAGAGAAAGCTTACGTGTTTTTCTGTGATGAAAGTGCTTTTCCCGTCCACCAGGATGATGTTCCAAGTTGAACCAATGCCGTTTACGATGAGCCGGTCTTTGAGAAGCGCCATGAATGCTCTCATGATGAACGAGACGAACAAATGCATGTGAAGACGATTTCGATGATTCCGCAATTTTCTCAGGAGTAAAAATATTATCAGGGCGATTATTAATGTTGTCATTGATGAAGCATAACCGACCTTTGCTATTGTTTTTATTATTGGTACCCATTTCTGAAATCCATAGGAAATGATTCGATTTCTCATCAATTTTTGTACATTCAGCAAACCATACGAACATAATTTATTAGATTGCAAGGAATTTCTTTCAGTGGGACGTAATCACATAAATTATACCGGTATTTAGTTTACAGTTTAACCTGTCAGCACTCGCGCCATTTCACCGAGAACTTTTACTCGCGCCGAGAGAGAATCTCTGACGCATTGCGCGCACACTAGTTGGACAGAGAGTTTAGTTTTAGTGTTTAGTTGCCGGGTATCACCGAATGCTTCGCGGAAGCGCTCGATGCGAGCGAGCCACGCGATCGACTTTACTCGCACCGCGAGAGAATCTCACGCGCTCCACGTCCACCCGGGTAGGAGATGAGAAAAGGCCCAGGGTAGGCCCATGTTTGCCCGATGCTGGACAACATTGGGCCACCCTCGGCCAATCTTGCCCATTTCTCATCTCCTACCAGGGCATGCTCGATACAATATTTTTTATAATTTATTGAAACATTCTAGACGGTTTTTATTGACTCCGACGGAAAAAGGGATAGTTTCTTGAAGCAATCAAACAGTTGCTGTCCAAAATCTCAATTTTTTGACTATGTTCCCTATAGCCTGAAAATTTTTGCAAGGTAAAGTCATATAGCGCAAGTGCTGGCGGGTTAAGGCGATGAAAAAATGAATGTGATTTTCTTTCCCCCGTCCAGAAACTGGTCTAAGCATTCTCAACACTGACAGAATGATTCATTTATTCCAAACGAGATTCGTTAACTATTAACGAATGGTAGAATATGTAGTTGAATATGACCAAATGAATATTCATTAATATAATAGTTAACGAATGGTTCACTTGAATGGCGGAAGTCAAGTCAAACAAGGCTCCTCAAAAATACATTCGTTAACTATTAACGAATGAACATTTGGTGAGACCGAATAGACCCTAACCTCCAACCAAAATCCATTCGTTAACAATAACTAATCCGTTCTATCAGCGAAGGTGTAATCTAATGCCAGGTTCTTAACCAGGCTAAAACAGTGACACACACCTGACTGTTTTAGTCTGTGTCCATTATGATATATGACTGTTGTATTAATGCTACAAAAATGTGAGATTATTTAATTCAGCATTTCAGCGCTTTAATTGATTTTCTAGACTCCTGTATAGGCAGAGTACGATGGGGAATGAACCTGATGGACGGTCATCCCAGCTCTTCATACTAATCATAAACACTGACATATATTTTAGAAATCATTAATACTTAATATACCATTCTGCTACCTATTTGAATACCTAGTGTTTCCATGAGCAAATATCTTCTCAAACTTTCATAATAATATTCCTCGAAGGAGCACATCTCCGCAAACTAAGCTTATTCCTCCAATGTTATGTATGGGATTCAAACGAAGGATTTTTGGGGATAATTGAATCATTTATCCAGTGATAAGGAACTGCCCGTTTCAATATTCTGCGAATTTCACATCAATAAATTTATTACTGTGAAATAAAGCGTATTTTTCAGTGTTAATAATCCAAAAAATAAATAAAAATATCCATTTTAACCATATTATGAAGTGGTAAAAGAACATAAAATTCGTCTTCAGGGCTAGCATCTATGGAAACCAAAGTCAAACCATTTCTAGGTGATGTTTTTACATCATTCTTATTTTTATTAGTTATAAGATAATTTGGAACTTGATGACTTCCAGAATCAAATATGAGGTCATTTTGGTATGGACGCATTTTCTTACTCTTTCGGCAATGCCTTTTTTCTTCGATTTTAGCGGTTTGTACTTCTCATCTATTGCATATCATTATGATGTTCTCAATAATTATTGTTTCTATTATTGCGTGCGCCGAGGCACTTTTATGAGAGGCACACTGAGTTTTTGAAATTATCTTCAGAAGTTTGTCGCCACTGAGAGAAAAAATTCGTCATATGTAAACCATATTTTATTAACTTATATAGACCGTAGTTTCGGCAACCATTCAATGAATTATTGACATTTCCAGAAAAATCAAAAGTGGTCCACTCTTCCTATCTCTTCCTACCTGTGTGAGAGGGGCGAATTTTCACCTTGATCCAGTCGAATGGTATTCGTCCTGGAAAAGAGTTTCCATACTGATTTAGCTGATGTTAATGGGGCTTTTTAATTTTTTTTTATCGTTATTTTACATCACTTCGACCCGGTTAGGGTATACTGCGATGATGATCAAGACTTTAAATGGTTAGATCGCACCATTCTACCCGGCCAGGATTTGAACTCGGAACCTTTCGCATGTGAGGCAATGAATTTATCCACTGCGCCAAGCCACTGGGTAGGCTTTTTAATTATGAGCACAATTCGTTAGTAGTTACGCGGAGAAAATAATTTGGTGAATTTCACTAACTAGTTGTTGGAAAAATGAATTACCAACGAGTTGTTGAATTTCAACAACACTGATAGAATGATTCATTTATTCCAGAAACGAGATTAACTATTAACGAATGGTAGAGTTGAATATGACCAAATAAATATTCGTTAATAGTTAACGAATGGTTCACATGAACGGCGAAAGTCAAGTCAAACAAGGCTCCTCAAACGTACATTCGTTAATTATTAACGAATGAACATTTGGTGAGACCGAATAGACCCTAACCTCCAACCAAAATCCATTCGTTAACAATAACTAATCCGTTCTATCAGTGAACTAGTTGTTAAATTTCAATAACTCGTTGGTGAAATTTAACTACTAATTAATTCAAATTCAAAAAAGATTTTTCAATTACATTCAATCAATTTTCACTACCAAACTAGATGGTGAGGGCATATATATATTTGGAAATAATCCGGCAATCATTTATATCTTGACAATCGATCAATGTCTCCCCTAGAAGATATTTTCACAATAATCTATAATTCCTTGTTAAATTTGATCCATCAAATAAATCGACGAACGTTTATTGAAAATTTAACAAAAGGTTGTCGAAGGACATTCACAAATCTTTTTTTGAATTTGAATTAAATAGTTGTTAAATTTCACCAACTAGTTGCTGAAATTCAACAACTGGTTGGTAATTCATTTTCTCAACAACTAGTTGGTGAATTTCACCAAATAATTTTCTCCGTGTGACCAATGGTATTAACAGTTGCTAAGCCTTGTTAACAGCAACTAAATTATCCTCCCACCTTTGTTATCAGTGCAGGAACCAGTGATATATGATGACATGCGCGTATACAGAGCTGCGGGATACTCCTAGTTTTCAAACATATACCATCCAATCGAGTACTACCGGATAATTTTTCCTTTAATCAATATGATATCATCGAGAGGGATGGGAAATCTCCTACCAGGGATGGATTGTTTTATGAATATCTTTGTAGCGGATACCCGAGTGGAATTTCAAATCGGGATAGAATGAGAAACTGACCAGTAAAAACTGACTTTGATTTGTTTTGGATCAGAAATGTAACGCTTGCGTACTCGAGTGCTGTCGAGCAACTACGTGACCGATCCTATGAGCGGTATTACCGGTTCTGCTCGGCGTCAACAAAATTATTGATGATTGTTGACATGAGTGAAGTTTTGAGTTCGAATTGGTCCCTACCCTGTTAGATAATTTTACTATCAAAACGTTGTGAAACATCCTTTTTACTTCCAATTAATGTAGTAGTGAGGAATAGTATATTACGCAACAAGTGCGTAATGGGTTTTTTGGCTCGTGGGAAGTTGTGCAACGAGCTGAAGGCGAGTTTTACATCCCACGAGTCAAAAAACACCATTACGCACGAGTTTCGTATACTATTTTATGTCTCGCTTCGCTCGGTAGAATCGCGGATTCTGGGCCCTATGACATAAACACCATTTTTGGCGAACGTAGGGTTAATACACCGAGGTGAAGATGAAATTGGTAATCACATTCGTCAAGGAATGCATTGGAAGTAACTAATGATTTAGTCCTTCAGCTCGCCTTCAGCCATGTCTTATTGTTCCAGGAATGTGTTGAGGCAGAAACAATCGTTGTAATAAAAAGCAGTCTGTTGATCAAATTGTACACAGTTGCTTCTGTGTATTTCACCTGTATCTGAATTATTTTTCGGGGTGTCTGCGATTAAAGATGTCTATAGTCCACAAACCCGTATCATCGCCCACGACATCGTATGAAAAAATCGTATAGAAATATCCGAATATCATATACGAAAATCCTATAGAAAAGTTATACGCAATCCGTATAGAAAATTTCTATGCGATTTTTTCATACGTGACGCCACGTATGGCGTCGAACTGGCAAATCCCTCAAATAACGCTCAATATTTCGATGGATCATTGAAGAAAAAATACGCAACAGAAAATATTTCATTTTCAATCCGAAAACAAGGATAATCCGTTAACCGAGAATATGGCTGTGCATGGAGTGGGTATATTCGATTCCTAAATGGTGTATAATATATCCATTCTTCAAACATATGGATACATCTGAATCGGATGCATTATATCTAATTTGAGAGATATTCAAGATTGAAAGAAATGTTTATGTTTCATACTCGAGTCAATCATACCAGCTTCATGTATATTTTAAATTCAGGCATACTATTGAATGAAGAATAGTATATACGGATTTCAAGTATACCGGCCTTCTCCATTCTAAATCGCTCGTATTCCTGAATCCCAAATCAAATCTTCACACGAGGAAAAAATGCAAGAAAAATAACAGTGCCAGTAATTTGACGTGAAAAATTCCTGTACTTGACAACAAAATTTCCGGTGCTGGCACCTAAATTCAGTAGCGAAGTGGTAAACCGGGTTAAGTCGATTTTAACTATTGGCTAGTTTTTGATTTATATCTCGCAATCTAAAAGAAATTGAAAATTGTTTGCCGTGACCTTTTTTATATCCCTCAATTGACTTTACAAAAAAGGTCAAAAGAAAAATTTTGCTATCTCTTTTAGATTCCGAGATATTCATCAAAAACGGACCAAAAGTCAAAATCGACTTAACCCGGTTTACCGCTTCGCTACTGAATGGT